TCTTTAGGAATGATATTTCTAGGTCCAGTTTCTAAGATAACAGCAACTAATTATGGGCCTAAGATGGGTTTTTCCTCCCGTCCCACCCTCAGACCCCACTTCTCCTCTCCTCCTTCACAGAGAGATTTTGGAGCATTATGTGAAAGAAGTTCTCCTCAGTGTAGTATTTTTTCAAAAAAAAAAAACAAAAAACCACATTTATTTTTACCTGCCTTCCAAAATCCAGTCAAGTTATTTGAATTTAAGTCTTGAATCTGTCTCTATAGTTTTCCCTCCAATTAATATCCTTCAAAGCCATCTCAAGTTTTGCCCACAGTGTGATATTTGGGTGTTAAGAAAAGGTGCAGGTGAAATAAAAGGCCACCTGGGGTAGTATGAGTGAATTCTTGAGTAGTTGGAAATTTTAACTAAAAATAGATATATACAAAAAAATGTTTTTATGGAATGTGTCCATAATAATTCAGCCCTTTTATTTTCTGTGTAGCTTATCTGAATTAATTGGGCTGACACCAACAATTACTATGTAAGTAATTAATAATTGTATGAGTGAAGAAGGGGCTTTGCGTCCATGTAACCTTGGAAAATTTGTATAACCTTTCTAAAACTTAAGTTTCTCATGTAAAAAAAACTTAATTGTTCTAAGAATTAAATGAGATTACCATCCAAGACACTTATTGTAATAGCTAGCCCAAGGAAAAACTCTCATCATTATCACCATCATTTATATTCGTATTCACAAACTGCACGGAGTACAGCACCAAATGTTATTTAATTCTCAACACATGGTGGTAGGTTTTATTATTCCCTTATTTGAGGTTGAGGAAGTGAATCTGAGAACTTAAATGACTTTCCTCCTGTCCCAGAGCTCCCAGAGCTAACAAGGGGGAGAGTCAGGGATCTAACCCAGACCTACTGATTTCACAGTCCCTCATCTGTTTGCTCATCCAGTGCTGACATCACACATTAGTAACAGTGAGCAATAAATCATGCTTTGCAGTTGCTAATGAGATCTTGAAAATTATCTCATTTAATGATATCAATAGCTCTGGGAAGCAGGTATTATTTTCCCAGATAACAGACTAGAAGCCAGGCTTAGAAGGTTTAAGTTCTTGTCAAAATCTCAGAACCAGTAAATGCTAGAGCTGAGCTCTAAACCTATGCTGATTCCAAAGGTCCTGTCATCACCTCCCACAGTTTGAACCACTTCCCCCACTCATTTAGGGGAAAGTTCATCTTCCCTAAAAAAGTACGGATAATTATGTCTATTACCAGAGAATATAATTACCCCAAGATGCAAGAGCAATTCCTAACAGTCCCTGAGAGCTTGGTTAGGAGCCTTTTATCAAGATTCAGACAACAGTTTGTAGAGGAGAGGAGCTCTAGGCACCCAGCTGGACATGAAGACCAGCAAGATCAGAAACATCAATCTAGTTAGTTGAGCTGTTCAAAAATCAAATTTCAAAATGCTATAAAGGTCAATATTGAATCAATGGACAAAATTGGAATATGGACAATAACAGGATCACATTAGTGTTAAATTTCTTGAAGTTGACACCTGTGCTATAACTATGGAAGAGAATGATCTGTTCTTGGGAAGTACACACTGAATTAGCTAGAGGTGGAGGCTCATGATGAGTCAACTAATTCTGAAATGGTTCAGAAAAAATAGGTAGATAATAAAGCAAATAGTAGAGTAAACAGGGTGGTGATAGGTGCATCTGAGTTAATGGTATAGGGTAACTCTTTGAACTATTCTTGTAATGTTTTATAACTTTGAAGTTATTTCAAATAAATGATTAAAAAATAATAAATCTTCTCTCTTTTCAAGAGAAAAACCGCTATTTACCTTACTTCTTTCATATTTACCCCAACCTCTTATTCAGATCACCAACCTAGACAATAATCCCTAGACACACTTTACCTTTCAAGGTTTTTTTGTACTGAGCATTTTGTAATGCCAAAAAGTAAGAAAGTAAAACATAGATGGGGGGGGGGCATTGCAAAAGAGAGAGGAGTCAATTTCAAAGAGCTCCCATTCACAAAACAACAAAATACATAAAACCTGATTATTAGTTACAGCCCAAAGAATGAATCCAAAGTGATATAAAGTATTGAAAAAAATAAATAAGGGGGAAGGAAAACTATTTTTTTTCAGAAGAATTCTGATGAATTCTTAGAAGGAGAAGGAGAGAAGGAATAGAAAGTCATCATGACAACACCACAGTAATAATTGCTACAGGCAGGATCCACTGGTGAATAATAAGATTAGCTGATGAAACTTTAAGGGCAAACAGGATATTTGCATAGCCTCAAAAACATCCCTCCCCAAATTTACTAACTCTTTTGGTTTTAACATACGACCACATGTAGAACTGAATTCCCTTCCCTTTGCATCGGGGATGACTTGGTGACTAAGGTGAAAATTGTAACTTTACAGTTGAGAAAAAAGCACCATTCTACGCGTGTGATGAAGGTTCGTGTCACTGGTAATGAGCAATGTTGATATTATATGTCCCCGATATAGTTTGACAGAGGAGCACATCACCTCTGTGGTATACCTCCCTTAACACCAGAAAATTGTCTATTCCTGAGAAACTGTAGATAAATTTAACCTTGAGAACATTCTACAAAATATTCATTAAAAGTGTCAAGGTCACAAAAGACAAGTAAACACTGAAAAATTATCACATATTGAAGACAAAGGAGGCATGATAAATATATAATATATATACTACATAAATGCAACGTAGTGTCTTGGATTGGGTCCTGGAGCAGAAAAAAAGGATATATGTGGAAAAACTGGAGGGATCCAAATTAACTGTAGTTAATTTTATCATATGAATGTTAGTTTCAGAGTTTTGATAAGTGTATCTGGTTATGTAAGATGTTGGAGTAAACTGGGTGACAGGTTTGTGACTCTGTCAAATTCCAAAATGACTTCAAAATAAAAAGTTAGAAAAAAGCCTTTATGCAAAAGCATACATCTGACACTATGGACAGTTATGAATTATGGGCCATTCTCTTGCTGAGGAATGTTTTCATCGCACACAAAAATATCCTATCCTGGAGCCAACGGTGTCATGGAGCAGAGCCCTGCCCAGGGCATGGAAAGAGCCCTGGACTAGGATCTAGGAGACTTCTGCGTCCCCATGTGGGCAAGTCACTTGCCTAACAACAAAACTAGTCTCTTTTCCCAGCTGTAAAATGAAACTATATATACTTTCACAAGGTTAATGAGTTTTCAACTGAAAAAATGCTATAGTAAATATTTAGCACCTGACACAGTAATGCTTAATAAAATCCTGGATTGTCTAATTTATATACATAATATTGATCACCTACAAATCAAAGGTCATAGATTCAGAAGCCTGTGTGGTCTGGGTAATTATTATTATTATTATTATTATTATTATTATTATTATTATTGATGTGTTTAGAAGGCCTGTGGCAAATTCTAGAATACATGGTCCATTTGAAGGAGACACAGTCAGCTCCAACCAGCTGTTGCCAGTGGAGCACTGTTCCAGTGTTACCCAATATTTGAGTTTCCCAAGAGAAGCTAGAAATCCTGATATTTACAAATGTGTATAATCTCCTTATTTCAAAATGTTAATAATTCATTAAAGACATTTTAAAGTATTGTATGAAACATCTGAACATGTTTGTCAGTGGGTTTTGTCTTTTGGTCACCAGTCTTTGAACCCTATAGGGAATAGGAGGGAAAACCTGAGTTCCCCATGAGCCATGTAGCTATGTCTTAGATTCCACAACAAATATACACTGGGCACATGTAGAATTAAAATAAAACATCATAAAACAAATGCAAACAGAATTCAGCCTCCTCCACCTCCCAGGTCACTGCTAACCACTATAGGTTTATATTGGTCACTTCCTGCTGGTTCCACTTGAACCCACCCGTTAAGTGGACCTAATTGGGGCTGAGAGGGAACTGAGAGGCCATTATTAATAGCCCATCCTACCATGCACAGAGTAGCCCCTGGGTCTGCATCTCCCCAACCTCTTTGAAGCAGGGAGAGCTTCCACACCTAGTTGAGTTGGTAGTAGGAGCCAGGTCTCCATATTCTTGTCCCATTAACTGGACTCTAAACCACTCTGGAGCAAGGACCCTGCTTTGTATGGTGCCCTTCACACAGCACATGTTGGACTTGCTTGTTCAATAAGCAAAATACCTATGATTCTCTTGTGCTGACAACACACATATGGTGAATTAAAATACTCCAAAGAAGGGTGCCTGGGTGACTCAGTCAGGTAAGTGCCTGCCTTCGGCTCAGGTGGTATCCTGGGGTCCTAGGATGAGCCCTGTGTGGGGCTCTTTGCTGAGCAGGGACTCTGCATCTCCCTCTGCTCCTCCCTCTCCTTGTGTGAATGCAGGCACACTTTCTCTCAAATAATCAAATAAAAATCTTTGTAAACATATCTCCAAAGATTTTGAACTAAAAATGTTAACTTCTTTAGCAAATTTTGTATTCTATTTCTATTAAAAACTTTGAAAGCTAAGTAGGCTAAAATACAAAATTTTGCTAAAATATTGTTTCCCTCCTCCCCACCTTTACCAAAACTCCAGCCTAATGTCTGACTGTCACTTATCATTGCTATTTTTTATTTTTCTGAATAGAAAGTAGGCCATGTATCTTTTTTTTTTTTTTTTAATGAATGGGCTTTAACTATTTCTAACCCCAAATCGTTGCTTCCAGAACATTTTTTTTTCATTTTAGCAAATGGAATATCTGGAGCAAGTCCTCTTTAATCATTTCTATTGCCCTGTTGAGTAAGAATAAAGTCATGATGGTGTTGTTCCTAATTTCTGTCTCACAGGATGTGCTTTCTAAATAAGCTGGATCACTTATTATTAGTAGTAGCAGAATCCAACAATATCTTTTCAGTGACATTGCAGCCTTCACTTGTGGTGAGAGACAGCTCTAAATAAATTCTACTTCAGTAGAACTGAGGTTCACTGAAGTTTCCTCCAGCTCTAATAGTCAGGGAAATTCATCCACATCAAGTTCAAGGGAATAATCTGTGTTTTCAACATTATCAGTGATTTGTACTTCAGTTTCTTCACACCAGATGAGAATATCTGGTTGCCTTGCACATAAATAAAGGGCAAATACCAATAATTAGGCCTTTACTAATGAACAGGTCCAATTCTCTGCATCCCCCATAGCAAAAGTTTTTTTTCAACTAGTTTTTTTTTAACTAAAGTTTATATCTATTGAGAGGATTAGTTTTATTTGTAGTAACTCATTTCCAATTTGAAAGTCATAATTCCAATGGCAATTCTTTTTTTTCTTTTATTATTTAAAAATTTTTTTATTGGGGTTCAATTTGCCAATGGCAATTCTAAATTTACAGATTAATTTACACTTAAAGAGTACTAGAACTCCCTTTTAAATAAATATCACTTTAGTCAAATAATATTTATTAAACCTTGACTTTGTGTGAAGCTCATGTACTTATATCTAACAAGGGACTACATAATGGCCAATCATAGAAATTAAAACAAAAGAAAATTCTATAGTTTAATTTCTTATGTCCCAATTTACTCAGTCAAGTAAAACTCCAAATTAAAGATGAATCCTCCTGATAGTTTTCCAAGAAACCTCTGTAGTTTGGGGAGCTACATGAATGTTTCCTTGGGACTAAGTTATCCATCAATCAATATGAGTTATCCATTAATCAATATTCTCTATTTTATTTAATCTCAAGAGAGACTTGCTCAGTGAGATTGACAATAATTTCTGTTTTTTTTGGTTTTTTTTTTGTTTTTTTTTTTAGTACTCTTTAACTTGAAATCTATGCATTGTTGACACGTAGAAATCAGAGATGGAAAGCCTCTATCTAAATCTATTCCCAAACTGGTGCAAAGTGGGGAGAAGATGAGCCCAAGTGGCCAACACAGGACAAAGGTATAAGGAATGTGTCTCAATTTCCAGCCCCAAATGTGAGCTGTTCCCACGCCTGACAACACAGGTTCAACGCACTGTACCTTAAAGATGAATTTGCAAGTGAGCTGATATCCTGCTGTGGTGCAAAGGAGGTCAAGTTTCACAGCTCTGTTCCTGACTCCTCAGCTTTGATTTGTGAAGGCTACAGGCACTGTCCTACAACCTTATTGTTGCAGTCTTTTATATATGGAATGGAGGAATTACAGAAATCTCTGAGCCTTTCAAGGTCATTTGAGCCTAATTAGTAGTAGAATCAGACAACATCTTTTCAGCCACATTCCCGTCTTCACTTGTGGGAGATAGCTCTAAATAAATTCTGACCTGCTCCAAGGCAGGCGAGCTCCTATTTTGGCTTGTCCCATGAGTACTATGACTTGGCCTGAACCAAGAGTGATGATTTAGAACATGTACTGGATTATCCATGTGCCCTGTTCTTCTGAGACTTGTGAAGAGCCATTCTCTAACCCTCGGTGTGCAAAGGGGACTGGAATGGTGGGAAACGTCACTCTTGGGTGTAATATTACAGGAAGACTTAGAGAGGCATCTTGTACTTTGGAGCCATTAATCCTTGAATGGAATCTGGTGATGACATATCACGGTCTGTTTAGTTCTCTAACCATTTGGAGCAGGCATTGACCCCTGGTGAGTGGTTTCCAATAAAATGCATCCAAGTGAGATCGACTTCTCATTTTAGAGTGGCTCTTATCCTGTTGTGGAAGAGCATATTTTGTCCTTAGGAAAAACATTTAGAATACTCATCTGATAACAAAAATAGCTCTGGTTTTTATCAAATCCTTCTACCATGCTATGAATTGAATACCTATTATTTGGTTCAGTGGGTTAGAAATCTATAATTTACACGATACATGGCAATCTTGACTAATACTGATATTCAAATTTTATCTTGCAGAAGTGGCAATATTTAAATTTTTTTATTTTTTTATTTTTATTTATTTATGATAGTCACACACACACACACACACAGAGAGAGAGAGAGAGAGAGAGAGAGAGAGAGAGAGAGAGAGAGAGAGGCAGAGACATAGGGAGAAGCAGGCTCCATGCACCGGGAGCCCAACGTGGGATTCGATCCCGGGTCTCCAGGATCTCGCCCTGGGCCAAAGGCAGGCGCTAAACCGCTGCGCCACCCAGGGATCCCAGAAGTGGCAATATTTAATGTTGAATCTATGAAAGTACTTTAATAAGCCAGTTTACTTTAAGCTGGATGCCTACTTTAATAGCAGAACCAAATTTTATAGATGAGGTTTTTTTTTTTTTCCATTAAGAGAGAGAGGGGTTAATTCTGAAATCATTTTACAGGATATCACCTACACAAAAGCAACCTTATAAGAGAGAAAACTTCAATATAAAATATTTCCAAGAAGTACATTGAAATCACAGTCATGAAGTTTATTTATATACTATTTAAGAAAGTACAGTGAAATTGAATAAAGCAGATGACAGATTATAGATAACAACCTTTCTTTTCCTTTCCCCTTTTCCTCCTCTCCTTCCTTACTATCTTCCTTCTTTCCTCTCATTCTTTCTCTCTTCCCTCCTCTACCCTCTCCCTTTCTTCTCTCCCCTCCTTCTCTTTATCACTGATATTCCTTTTTTTGTTTGTTTGTTTTTTTGTTTTTTGCTCGGGACACATTTTATTTAAGAAAAGGGTATTACAAATCACATAAGAATTTTTTTTAAAAATAGTTTTGCTTTTTATTTTTATTTTTTTAATAATAAATTTATTTTTTATTGGTGTTCAATTTGCCAACATTCAGAATAACACCCAGTGCTCATCCTGATATTCCAAAAGCCATGATAATCATTTTGGTTATATGAGATTCCTCAGTCTTTATTTAAGCCATTAGCAAATTTCCAAGAGAAAGGTTATCAAAGTGCTGTTGTGTGGTATTATTTAACCTGGTTCATGGCAATTCTGTAAATTCCTACTCCACTAACATGGAGTTTTGCACAATTAATAATTTGTTCTATTTCAAAGAATGAGATTTATGTTCTTCTTAGTTTAGCTGACGTTTTAACCTATAAGTATCTGTCTATCCAAATTTTGATCTTACTTTTACATTTTATTAGGTTGGGAGAAGAGGGGCACAGAGAGGTTATGTTACACAGCTAGGAAGTGGTAGAATTGGAATCTGAACCCAGGCTGTTCAACTCTCAAGTTCTTACTCAAATGAAATGTTCACTATTAAGGGATCCCTGGGTGGTTCAGTGGTTTGGCGTCTGCCTTTGGCCCAGGGCTGATCCTGGAGTCCCGGGATCAAGTCCCACGTTGGGCTCCCGGCATGGAGCCTGCCTCTCCCTCTCTCTATGTCTATCATAAATAAATAAGATCTTTAAAAAAATGTTCACTATTAAGACAGCATGTCTCTGCCCACCCCCAAGTGCTTTCACTTTTCATTCCCCTAGAATAAAAAAGAGGAGGAAAGAAGAAGACGTGATAGAGCACATGCTCAAGTCAGAGACCCTGCAGGACCCGTTTTCCTGGAGGGTCCGACAGGGCCTAAAGAGTCTATGGCCAAGGCAGGTCCACATGGAGGCAGGAACAAAGTAGGGGCACCCAGTTAGGCAGAGCCTCTTCAAATGCCTATGGAACATTTTAGGAATTAATGGAGGATGTCTCAGCATAGCTTCTGGCACAGACATCCACTCAATGGATTATTGCTATTATTACTATTATTAGTACTATTATTAGCTAGAGCCTTTCTTATTTTGAAACAGGGGATTTATGCCTTTTTTTGAACTTTACTTTTTTGCCATATTTACTTAAAAAAATCTGCCACCAACTGGGCCACAGTCAGCCCTGCCAGTGAGAGGGGACTGCTGAAACTAGAAACCTAACTCTCTTCTCTTGAGCATATATCTCTGAGGAGTCTTAATTCCTGATGAGTCCTTGAATGACTCCCCTGGGACTAGCTGGGGTAGGAGGTGAGGGTGATTATGCAAGAATCAAATGCAGATAAGAGGTGAGGGAAACTTGTCATTCATTTTTTTAAAAAAGACTTATTGATTTATTTATTCATGAGAGACAGAGAGAGAGAGAGAGAGAGAGAGAGAGAGGCAGGCTCCATGCAGGGAGCCCGACACAGGACTCGATCCCAGGACCTCAGGATCATGCCCTGGGCCGAAGGCAGGTGCCAAACCGCTGAGCCACCCAGGGATCCCCTTGTCATTCATTAACAGGTGGAAAATTAGAAGTCTCTCATCTGATGTTTTACTTCAAACTGCCTGGTTTAAAAACTTGCATTTCAAGGGACTGATGCAAGTCTGACCATGGCCTGGGCCTGTGTTTTAGGTAGCCAACATTTGACCTTCCCTAGACCTTTGTTCCCAACACCATGTATCTAGGCTGAATTCCAATCCTTCCATTTCATGTGATACTAGTTCCAGTTTCGCTGTCAAGTATGTGGGTTAAAATTTGTACCTGAGACTTGTTTTTATCAGGTGTCGTAAGGCACACAGACATGGAAATGACTGTTAAGAAGGAAGAGGTTGATACAGATCTCTAGAATTAGGAGGCATGGCACATTATGGCACTCAGAACCACATGAGGAAGACCAGAGTCATTCATAGGTAGAGAGGCACCAGAAGGGAGAGCATGGCCTGGAGCCTTTACTGGTGTTTTTTTAGTGAAGAAACAGGTGAAGCAAGGTAAGTGTTCAGAGTAAATTGAAGATTGGTTCATTTGAATAATTTTGGCAGGCTGAAGACTATAAGGGTGGTCCCTATTTGTTGGGTACCTGGCTCTGGGGTGATTTAGGGCAGGGGAAATATTGGCTTGGGGTGTGATAGTTTTTTTTTAGAGGAGCCAGGTGGGGATATGGGTTCTGTACCAGTTGATTTGTCTATCAAAGGTGCCTTAGAAAGGAGTAATTTGCTTTCTATAGGAATTAGCTAACCCTGGGAGGTAGAACCTCCCCAGGATCAAGGCCCCAAAGGTCAGAGCATCAGGAATACAAAAATAAGAAAAAAATAGTTAATACAGTATGGATAACAGCTAGTAGACCCTCCTTGATAACATCTCTATATTCTTTGTTGCTTCCAATGTCATGCCAGCGGATCTCAGAGCATAGACTTTTGGCCCTGCACTCCTACTGCCCGTGGCCTGGGGACAGCTGATCACTG